GGTGAGGGCAGCTGGGCTGGGGCAGCGGAGGCCCGAGCGCAAGTCCCCCTGCAGCAGCTCACCCGCGTGTCTCTCTGAGGCGGCTGGGAATAGAGGGCGGATGAATGAGGAAATCTGAGAAATAAATACGTCTTCTGACAAGGAGTAGGGGAACAGTAGGCTTACAGAACGGGAATTACTTCAGCAAATGAAATTTTTAATTTAGTGTTTGCATTTTTGAGGAAGGAGAGGATGCTGCTGAGCTGTGTGCTGACCTCCCTTTTAAAACAACGGGTTATATTAAGGGTCGTGCATCTGTGACTGATTCTGTAAGTGTCCCTTTGGCAAGGAGTGGGTGGTTCGTATCGGTGCTATTTATCTGAATTTTCACAGTAGGCAGCGTGGAAGGGTAGTGGTTTTTTGGAGCTGTGATTTTCACCTTATGCTTATAGGTGGCATCTCGCTCGAGAGACCCTCTAGCCTTGCCCATCCAGAGGCAGAAGGTAAAAAGTTTGAGACTTACCAAACCAGCTTTATCATCTCCTGAAAAATCTTATTTGTTTAACATTGTTACCCATGGTATAGCAAAAATTAGAGATCCGTGGTTTAGAATCTAATAAAAGCATGGCTTTTATTTCAGGAGGTATGGAATAATTATTAAAGATGGAAAAGAAGTAGGAAAGAATATTTTTAAAAAACACTTTTGAGAGGAGAGAAGGGAGAACCTCAATACCCCAGAAAATGACAGTTACTCCAAACGCAGGGAATGGCAGAAGGAAATGAGAGGGACAGAGATGGGGGAGTCTGTCTGCAAGTGAGACTGGCATTACGTAGGAATTAAGAAGGTATAATTAATTAATACTTGCTCTAACTGGAGGTGGAAGGGAAGGGCAGATATGAGTATTTTATATAGAAGGGAAGGCCAGACTTGTGACACTTGATTTTGGAAGTCATATAGGACTCTGGTCTTATTGGGCCCGAGTTTAGGAAGCATGAGAGTTCACTTAGGGTAAAATGATCTACAGAATCGACCTCAGTATCTTTTATTTCGATATATGTGCCTGTCCTGTGGTTTAGGCATAGGTGTAGCATGGAAAGCATGCAAATATCAGTGTTCATGTTTCTACCTATAGATGGTGATCTACTGCTGTCATAGATTTATATTGTTAAAGTAACTTTTTTTTTTTGCCCGTGGTGTTGGGTCATACCTTTCTGTGAATAGTAAATAAACGTGGATTTAGTTTGAGCAGAATAACCTAAACATGTCCTAGATGTTGCTTGTCTGTTACTAAAACAGCAGTTCAGTACTGCTGTTGTGTGGGGGGTTTTTTTGTTGCTTTTTTTTGGCAGTGGCAAGTATATTAAACTCACTTAAATCGGATGATGCCTCTTCTGCGAGGAAAGTCTTTGGCAGTTGTATTCAGCCTTATCCACTCTTCTGTAATGTATTTGTTGCTGACTGTGGAGGGAATGGTGCTACTGCTGCGGGTTTGGCAGAAGTTCAGCCTTTGGATTTACTGCTGTCTCTCACTGTCAAGACTGGAGTAGTTTTTTCTTCAATTTTTTTTCTATCTCCGACTAAAATATTTTTGATTCTCTGAGACAAAGTTTGCATATTCTATAGTTAGTGTTTTTTGTATAGGGCAACATCATTACTTTCCTTCCTGTTTCCTGATCTCTGAGTTTGGTGAATGCGGCCTTTAATTTGACAGCTCTAGCAGTGTTTCGTATTGTTACTGGATTCTTAGTGTGGTCAGGCAATCTTGGTGGGAGATCAGTCCTGCCTTTTTGGGTAGAAGAATGGAGAAGATCTCTTGAACCTGGTAGGTTTCATCTGGTGTATCCTCTAGGGAGAGGTAGCTGATGGGTAGTGTGCTTATGCTTGAGAAGGGAGAGGTAGAATTTCAAGCCCGTTTTTCAATATCGGGGAGACTGAAGTAAGATTCAGATCAGGGATTTTTCATCATTAATGCCAGATGTTTGCATTTGCATTCCTAGGTCAGCAGTACACATTTAATTTTTTTGATTGTGTATTGGCTCATGACTGTATTCCTGTGGAATTAGTTAGAGCACATAATACAGAGTTTATGATATGCTCTGTGTGCTTTTATAATGGCTGCAGAAGAGCAGACAATACCTGGTCCAGCATGAGACCTGCCAGTACGTAGTGAATTTTTAAATCGTTTTTGAATATCTTTAAACCAACAGAGAAGCCTATACCAGATCTGCATTTTACGTAATTTGGCCGTGGTGTTCTTAATCAAGAAAATAAGTGTCATTAACTTAATACTGGGACACTTATACACTTTTTAAAACTGTATGCTTGTTAACAATTTTTTTTTTCTAGTGAGTTATTAATCTAGGAATTTTTATAGACTTCTTTGGAGAGGTTTTTCTTGTTCAGTGGCAAATATCAGTTTGTGAGCTACTTAACATACGTGTTTGGCATGAGTATTTTGACTACCACTATGATCTTTTCTACTGGTCTCTTGTAGAATCTTCTCTGGTCACTCACAGGTAAAAAGTGCTACATGTTTGCATAACAAATTGTGTGGAGCTTATTAAGGTGATGCTTAAGTATGCATGTGTATGTACAGTGTAGTGTTGATCTGGTATCTGAATTCTCTTAAGTGGTTTGAAATCTTTTACTCTTCTTCTTGCTGTTGTTTTTATGTCATTTTGTCAGATGCCTTTTCAGCTTCTAGCTCGGAAGTGGGAGAAATTGCTTCTGGGCAGCATTTGGCTTCATGGTTAGAAATTCTCCAGTACTGAAAACCCCTCCTGATTGCAGCGTGCTTCCAGACGCAAGATAGTAACAGAATGTTTCTGGGTGGGGAGAAAACCGGGACTATCAGTACTGCCATTAAATGCCTAAGGAACAAAAACACGGACAGTTTTGTAGCAATGTTTATGGTGTTTTTTCAGGTACCTTTTGGCTTGTTACAAAGACCAGCTATGGAGAAGTGGAGCTTAATGACAATTACTGTTTTACTAGCACTTACTGTACGCTGGACTGTATCGCTTGGTTCTTATTCAGGTAATACATGTTCACGGTCTGTAAAACAACCACATGAAGGTGAATTATGGAGCTTGTGATAAATTAAAATAAACTTGCATGTAAAATCATAAATAGGAAGCAATGTGTTATTTCAAGTATTGTCGTATTTTAGTGCCTCTCTATTTCCCTAAGGTTCGTATAATACCTTGTTCTTATTTTCTGAAGTGTGCAATGATTAACATCACATCTGCTTGGAGGAAAACGCTGAAAAAACCCCCACAACTTTTTTTTTTTTCTTCTGTGAGGGGGCAATGGTCAGTAATGTTTTGGGAGGAGCCAAAGAACAGCTGGCTGTTCACCTCTATGCCTTTGTTGTTTCAGTAGCTGCAGAATATTTTTGCAGTTCAATTGTACATTTGTTTAATCTTGTCCTTTAAGTTCTGTAACAGATACAGCCTTAATTTATATTTAGATAAAATTGTACTGGTGATAATGAAGACAGTGTAAAGGTGATGTGGAGTGAGCGATTACACTCTGCCTTGTAGTTATACTTCCATAAGATTGTTTACCGCATGAACTAGAGCTATATTCTTTTAATAGATGAGTTTTTCTCCTCCCCATCTCATAATGCTTGCAAAGAACTAGGAAGTTTTTTTCCAAACCTCTCAATGCCATTCCTACATAAGCTTGCACAAAGCTTGCTCTCTGCAAATTTAAAAAAAAAAAAACGAACCATTACTTTAAATCCCCATCAGCTAAAAGAATCACAAGCTCAGTCAGATTCAGCTCTGGTTTTCTGTTAAGGCAATTGGGAACCTCATCCCCTGAGTAGTTGGAGCTGTTCAGTAGTATTCTAGTGATTTTAAACTGGTAACTCCCGCGTTTCATTTACTTGAAGGAATTTGCTTGAAGATAAGTTGCATGCATACCTTCTTGCACAGTTGTTTTATTTTGAGTTTGCTTTCTGAAAATGCCATTATGAGACATCTGTTCTATAGGTAACTGAGGCTCTCGTCTATATGCAGAAAAACAAACACCCTGTCTTTTGCCACACAATACTAAATTACTGTTGCACTGCAAGTATTTACAATCACATTGCTAACTAGATTTTTTTTAAGTTGATTTAATTTCAAACCAATCAAGATTCTGAAAGAGTCTTAAAATAGTGCCTGAACTAAAATAACAATTTTAAAATCTTGTTTCAAACAGAATGATCATATAATTTCTTTTGGAATAGGAAAAGCTGAGTCTGATCCAATCCAGCATATTATTAAAGCATGTCTTAACTTTGAGCACTGGCTGAAAAAAAAAAAGACAAACCTGAATGTTAGAAAGAGCTGTCAAATGCATAAGTATACCAGAAATTTTTTTTCTTTGATTTCCTTCAGATGTAGCAAACCTTTAATGACAGGAGCAAGAAAAAAAAATTGGGCAGGGTAATGTTTAACCTGATGTGGTCCTGTAGTTTTGCTTATCGTTCTCTGAAGCAGACTCTGGTAGGAATGCTGATTCGGCATATTCTGAAGCCACGCATGACATGGATGGCCAGAAGGAAGGAGGCTAATTCTGCCCTCATTTACTGTATAGTCTTGGAACGCTGTATCATTTCCATTCTGTTGCTTGCCATCTAGCATGCTTTTGGATCTGCCTCTGGAATTGGGGTCATGATGGTGAGAAAGCAGACAACTAATACCTAGTTTTGAAAGGTTGCCGTTTACGATGACCTTAGATTAGTTGGTCTTGGAGAATTATTGAGGAAAAATTTGGCTTCATAGATTAATGCATAATTTTTTTTAATGCGTTGCCAAACTCCTGCTAAATGAGTAGAAGCTAAATAACCCGTGTTGAAAGGCAGCTTCAGACGCTTAAAAATGTCTGTTTCCAGGTAACAATAAAACTGAATAAGACCACTCTAAATTTAAAGTATTTGTGACCCTTTTAAAATAAAATACTCCGTTTTTATTAATTCTGAATTCTGTTTGGCTGTATACTTGATGCTTGCTGTAGACGGAAGCTAAATATGCATTCTCAAACTAACTGATGTGTGATCAGTCTCTGTATTTGGCTTTTAGTAATCGAACCTTTGGATTAAGATCTCTGTTGATTGTTCTGAAGCCAATTCACTTATTTTCCTCCTTTTTTTTTTTTTTCCTGAGAGGGGGAGAAGCTGAAATAAAATATGTGTGTTTATATATGTATATATGTGTGTATATACACACAAACACACACCAAACACACACACATACATACACACACTCTAAAATTTGCATAACACCTATTTTTGTATTTCACTAATCCTATGACAGGTTCTTTGTTCCACTAGATTTATAGCTACAGAATGGACACTGATAAAACTCTTGTTCTCCAGTGACCTCAGTTATTTGGGAAACTAGTTGAATGTGTCATATAGTGGAGATAATCTAGTCTCTCCGCTACCCAGGAATAAATAGTACATATCTGAGCTTGTGTGACTCCCACAAACTCAGATCATGTGAAGAAAAAAATAGATGGCTTTCCTATATTTTAAAGAAACTCTTAAATCTCTGTCTGGCCAGTGTCAATAATTTACTGGAAGTACTATCAGTCCAGTTTCTGTTCTCAATAAACACAGGTTAATAGAAGTAAATAAACTCTGTGATAAAGATGCTTAACATACTGCCATATCAGAGTTAGGCTTACGTTCAGGGAACTGTTCATGAGTAGACATCTGAAGTATTTGTATTGTTAAAGCTTTTTTTCGTGGAAAAAAAAAATCTTAGTTTCCCGAGAGACTTATGTATGCATGTGTAAAAAGTGTCCTTTAGCATAATTCACTTTGCAGAACTGCTACATAACAATCACTCAGTTGAAAAATGTGTGAGAGAGAATTCCTGTAAACCGAAATGGAGCAGTTATTATTTAGAAAGCTTTGTAGATTGTAAGAAAAAATTCTTCTAAACCTATTCTGTGTATTGAATGGCCTGATTTAGTAAATAGCCCATCTTAACTCTTTACTAAGAATCATGGGGAAAGGGACAGATGCAGTATTCTTGCTAGTGTTGCAAAGCAGGCAACAGAGGAAGGGGAGAGGAGCTGGGGGGCTTGCGTCAGGTCCTAATTTTAAGTAAATTTAAAAATAAGGCTGATTGTTGCTTTTAATAGCAAGGTACCACAACACGGCTGAAACACAAGTCAGAACGTTGTCAATTATTATCTACTAAGGAAGCGTAGTAGTTCATACAAAATCAGTGTAAGATGTCCATTAGGTACATCTTCTTATTTCAGAGAAAGTGCCACATTTTTCATCTACACTTGGAAATGATTTTTTTTTTTTTGTCAGATGAGGAAGCAGTTCTTCACAGTGGAATATCTTGATAAATGCTTATCGCAGAAATATCCAGAAAGCCAAAAGAACGCATAACTTTTTTTTTTTTCTCCTCCCTGCTAGACTGCATAGCAGATGAGGTCTCTATTTTGTTCTCAAATGTCATAGAGGAATGGAAAATAAAATTACTAATATATTAATAGGCAAATACATATCTGGAGGAAAAGCAATCTGCGTAAACCGAAAAAATTCCTAAATACTCTGTCATCTCTTTTTAGGTGCAGGAAAACCACCTATGTATGGAGACTATGAAGCTCAGAGACACTGGCAAGAAGTTACTTACAATTTACCCGTCAGGCAGTGGTACGTAGTGCTATTGGAGTTCAGGTTACAAAGGAGTAAATGTAATGAAACTTTGGTTCATATCTTACTTTAATATACCTTTAAGTTTAAGATCTCTGCAACATCTTCTACTGTTCTCTGAACTATTGTAAAAACCCTTTTGTAGTAATATAATATCACGCTGTTCTTAGACTGAGGTACCATTTTCTTCACAAAAAAGAAAAAAAGCTGAAATTTGGAACTTTGACTTGCTAGCTATGAGTTTGTATAACAAAATATTCTGACTGGTAGGTGTCTCTGTTGTGAAGTTCCAGCTTTGTTTGAATTGACTGGAAAGATCAAGAAGCAATTTTTTAGCAGGCTTATATAAGAGATCATAGAGAAACTTGTTCTCCTGGTTTAAAAAAGAATCAGTTCAGCTTCCTAAGTTCTAGTTCTCTAATGCACAAAAACTTCCATGGCACTGAAAAAACCAAACCGAACCCTGCTCATCTCCGCTAAGCTAAAAGGCAGGGGCATACCAGTAAATGCAGAGACCTGAATTCTTGTGCTGGAGGCACTGGTTGTTTTTTACACCTGCGAGTTCATTGTTCACACCTGTGTTCTTAATACAGATTTTAAAATGTGGGTGCCTGGAATCTAGATGTAAGGATAGTGAACTTTGTACAGATCACTTAAAACAGTAGGAAAATTATTCCAAATATTGTATTTATTTTTACATTGTTCCTAATATTCCTTAGAGCTTGCATGGAATGGTAAAAATTATTTAGTCCGTATATATGCTACAACACAAATTGGAATACATTTGAACTCAAGGTCATCTTCCAACAAGGATAGTGGCATTCTGTTTGGTGTAATTTTTTCCTCAGCTATCTGTTGGGGAACAGACAATATGACAGAATAGAATATTAATTCAATTGTATTTCTGTAAATGTAAGTGGGGCCAATTCTGAAAGTATGGCACTCTGTGGAACCCTGCAGATGACTCTATATTGTGACTTCAGATCATCCCATTGTATCTATATTACCATTTCTCTTCTACATTTTTCTGGGATACTCAAACCCCTCATTGTGCCAGAGTTGGGATAATGGAGAGCTGACAAAATAATAGACTTGGTAGCTTTGATCCACTCTGCTATGCAGAACTGTATGTACTTAAAATTAAGAGTTATAGCAGTCATTATTTCTAGGCATTCCCAGGGGCCAGATGATATTATATTGCAGGCTGGGTTTAGCCTATAGGCTGCCGGTTGGGCATCTCAGTCTTGTTGTATTTGCTCTGCATTTTATTTGTAACAGAAGTTTTTTTTTTTGGGTCTGCTTTGGGAATTGAATCTCTAGTACAGCAAAGTCATATTCAGTCTTGGTCGTTTGGAAAAGAACATCTCAGCTGACGTGCAAGGGATTACATTCTAGAATACTAAGCTGTCTTTCCCCTCCTGTGTTATAGACATACGCAGTGTCAAAAGATGTTGTACTCTGGTATGTAAAAATAGTGTTCAAATTTGAAGTTGAGATTCTAATCACTTCTAGTGCTGTTATTTGTTTCGTATTTATAAAAGCTGTCTATGCAGCAAGCATGTGTTCTTCTGTAGATTTGTCTAGGTAAATATAGAGAGTAGCTCTCTCTCGTGAGGACATAGTCCTATAAGATCTCTTGATCTTTTCACAGACTTAACTGTCACGTTTACTGTTTAAACAGACGTGTATGTAATGCAGCTGCATGTACCATGCTTGTTTTCTTTGATCCAAAACAAAGATTTATTAAAAAAAAAAATGCTGCAGTAAACTACAGTATGGTTTGTACTTAGTTTCCTTGTTGAGATTTCTCTGAATTTAAACATTTATTTTTTTATATTATTCTTTAGAGCCTTGGCATTATTTATTGAACACTACTTTAAGAATATCCTTTCTTATTATACTGCTAATTAAAACTGTGAAGGCTTTTTTGCTAGATATTACTGGGTATAGGGATTGTTTTTTCTGTTGAAACTATGAGTTTATGGAAGGTAAAATTAAAAAAAAATACAAAACTGGAAAGTTTACTACTAAGTTGCAGACTATTGCAATCTGTATGAAGAACCTGAACTGCCATGGCATGAGCAATCTTGAATCGTAGGATAAGAAGCAGAGATGTAACTCAAAGAAATATGATTTATCATCAGTTCATGAGAACTTCAGGCAGCTCATAAGGAATTCAAGAAATACCATTTACTATAATAAATGTCAAAAATTGTCTGCATTTGAAGAGAGAAAACTGGAAAAGCTAAGAGCTTGCCCCTTGGCAGTTAGAGTAGACTAGTCAGTCTGTTTCACTGTAAGATATGAAGGGTCTGATGCCTTATTTTTATAACTTCTGTTTTCCTTGGATAAAACCTTCTGTTTCTCGTTTGGAAGAGGTGACTTAATTTTAACTGCTGTCATCCTTCCACAGAAATACCGATACAATGTAATTACAAATGGGAAAATCCTTTTGCTTTCTCTCAGGTGATCTGCCTGAGCTTTGAGGTAGAACTAGGTAAAGTGGTTGTGGCTGACATACCTGATTGAGGTTCATGACCTTGCGTTGGTTATTCAGGAGGTGTTACTGTGATAACTTGGTGTTGCCTTCTAAGGAGCTTTTTAGCCCCCGACTCCTACATTTGTACTGAGAGAATTGCTTAGGTGCATCTGCTGTGGCATAGTTTTCTTCCAGACCTATGCTGCTTTTTGGTTGTCTGTGTAATATCTTTATGCCACCCTTTTCGACTTCTGTTCAGTTGCTTTCCAGCAGTATAACTTCAACTGACGTTTTTTCAGAATTTTCATATTAAGTAGAAGCAGTTCATAACTTTGCTACATTACAGTCTAAAAGAGTAGCAGATAAAGTTTAACTATTCAGAAGTCAGTGTCACACACTAAATGTGCTGCCCAAGTCCAGAAAAAAGGAATCTAGGATTAATATAAGGAAAATAATTTCTTTTGAAATTTCCTTTTAACTGCATTGTTTTTATTTCCTTTTTGGCAAATTGACTGCTGTCCTCTGGAATAATTGACATGCATGAAAAATGTAGGTTGGTTTGTAGATAGAGGTGAGAACCTGCAAAGCCTACCGCATAAACAAATCTAGAGCTACAGTAGATGTGCACAACTATTTTTGTGCAGGCTTTGTCTTAGTCTCTGGATTTTTGTCAAACGCTGTTCACATTAAGGATTTTCCCTCTCCAGGTAAGTAAGTGCTAGCAGCTTTTTTTAAATCATCTGTTTTGCAAACACAAGTGAGTGTACTCTGAATCGCTTTTGCTTTTGTTTTGTTGCTTTAGATTTTTTTTTTTGTGTAAAGTAAAATAAAGCAGATATAGAAGTTGCTAACTTCCTTTTGGATTTTGAATATGTTGATTAAAATATTTGGTTTAATATTCAGCCTTTTTCTTGGGCTGAAACAAAGCTGGAAATGTAGATCCTTTTTAAAATTTTTTTTTTTAGGTACTTCAATACAAGTGATAACAACCTACTGTACTGGGGCCTTGATTATCCACCTCTTACTGCCTATCACAGTTTTCTGTGTGCTTACATGTAAGTTCATTATTGTAAATACTTACTTCTGTGGAGAATGCAAAACGCAAAATTCACCTCTTTTTTTTTCTTTTCTTTTTTTTTTTTTTTTTTTTCCCCCCCCCTCCCCTTTCCTTTCTCTCCTGAGGAGAGAAACTAGTAGCTAAAAACTACCCATCTGGGCAGCTGATGAAATTGAAAGTATTGTTTGCTACTTTAAAGCTAAGGAATAGATTTTATGGGTATCCCTATTCCTTAACACTAATACTGCTGTTTTTCTGTCTTGTAATTGTTGCAAAGGGGACTGAAGGGTTACATTCCTCTCTTTGCCAGGTCCTTAATTTTTAGCAGATTTAGATGGGACTTAGATTTTTAGCTTTCCATATAAGCCACTGTTGGATCAGTGATGCACAGAGAAAAGTGCTGTAGGAATTGGGTGCATCGCATGGGAAACCTCTCTTGTATTGGGAGCCCAAGTGACATTTGATGACTGGATATCATGTAAATAGAATTCTGTTATTGGAATACTTTTTCCACAAGGGCTTTACTGCTGTTGGAATGAGACTTATGGAATAAGAATGTAGGTTAAAGTGCACAGGCACAGTTATGTGGGGCATCTATGTGAACTGTAAATGGTTTATATTTAATACTTAAGTATGAAAAGTATTTACAATTGTTTTTTTAAAAGTCAGTGGAACTAGACTGAAGGTGGTTATCTTGTCCTAATAAATATTGTATTCCATTTTTACTGTTTTCAAAGATATTTTTTTTTTTAATTGTGAAATAGCAGCTAAAGTCTATAGTGTAAACTGATCTAGTGGTGAGGAAAATCTTTCATTGATCACTATTGCTCTTTGAAATATTTCTTCTCATTCATCTTAATTCTTGGAATATGCTCCTGTGCATATCATCTTTATTGCTGAAAGGAGTGTAAAGGGAAATGAGAACTGTCTACATTTTGATGTGTCTGTACTTTGTTTTACAGTGCAAAGTTAATAAATCCTGATTGGATTGCTCTGCACACATCTCGGGGGTATGAGAGTCAGCCACATAAGTTATTTATGCGTACAACAGGTAGGAAAATTATATTTCCTTAGGATGATTTGTCTCGCTTACTAATTTAGCATGTTTAATATCATGCAGCTTCTCTGTCTTAACCAGTTTATTCTCAGTTCTTTGACTTGGGTGGCGTTGCAAGTCTATTTGTGAACCAGACTCGTGTGTTCTTTTCTCTTCTGCCATCACTTCTGAAGCTGATAAATATAAAATATACAAACAAGTTTTCAACCCAATTGATTCAATAAAAACTCTAAAACAAAGCTACTTTTTTTTTTTGTAGCATAGACCCATTTTTGAATTTTAAAAATAGTATTGTTGTTTTCCCTTCCATTCTGATAAATATGCTTTTCATTTTCAACTTAGGTTGGGTTTTATTGTAAAATTATTTTGCATGTAGGCTGGCATTCACTGACTTAACAGCCTCTTGAGGTCTCAGAGATCTTTATTATGAGCTGTATACTTTATCTGAAAGGGAGAGATACCTGATACTTTTAAAGATGTCACTTTTCTTTCAAACGGTCACCACTTTCTAGAGACAAACTTCTGTTAACAAGAAAGTAAAAACATATTTTACCACTTTCATCCTAAATTTCATTTTCCTGCAGTCACTCTTCTGACTGATTATTTTGAACTGCCTTTACAAAGAAAAGGATAAAACAAGTGCAAAAAAAAATTTGTAGATAACTTAATTTGGTAGCTGTATCAGTAGGACAGCAAACAATGTGGCCAGTGAGCTCTTGTTCTCTAAGCAGTGGCAGATGCCATATTATCCTATTACTATTTTCTTTCATTTTAAATCTGTCTTTTGCTTTGCATAATACTGGAGTTCCACAATATGCTTTCTGATTGCAACAGCAGAATTTGTTGTTCATCAATAGCTTTTCTGTACTTCACAAACCTCTCAGTCTGGTCTCTAGTAATTGATTGAATTGAAAAAAAAAAAAAGAATCACTAGAACTTAATTACCCTTGAAATGGTCTTTATTAATTTTGAAATCAACTCACTTGACAAACCACTGATGGATCTAGGAGAACTGATAAACACTTTATAACAATAGCCATTAGAAGAATGCATTAAAATAATTCAGAATGGTCAATGTCAGCTGTTGGTATTACCTTTATTTTAAGTGTCAGTGTATTTGTTTTGCTAATGCCTTGGCTATATTTGTTTAGTTGTGGCGTAAGCCTGCAAAACAATTAATCACTGAATAACTGGTATCTTTAAACATTCTCTTCCAAAGCCCGTGACTAAAAAGAGGCAAAGTGTACTTTCCCTCTTGGAATAATTGCACATTTTCTGAAACTGGTTTATAGAAATAATCTGAAATTTTTCTCATGCTCTTAAGACAACACTCAAGAAGAATTCACCTGGTGGTTAAGCATGAGCAGTTGACATAATTCTAGGCAGGTGAACCTGCTGGTTCTGTTTTCTTGTCAACCCCCTTACATATATTTGCTGTAGGTAGATGATCAAAGCCAAATAACTAGTTTTAGTCTATTTATCCACATTACTAGTAATTCACACAGATACATTGGAGATTGTTATAATCTAGAGGTTTTTAATTGTGTCTCCAGACTATCTGTTCCATCAAACAACTTGACTGGATCTGGTTGTAGTTGATTTCTTTTGAGAATTAAGAATGCCTTCTCTTATTTCGGCATGTGAGGAACTAGAGTGTGCTCCCTTATTGACTGAGGCTGTGCCAGAAGCTAAAACAGCTGAACACATGGAAGCAGCAGCTTTTGGACATCAGAAATGATAGCGTTAGAAACATTAACAAGATCAAATTCTGTAGACCTATTTCTTTTTGTCCTTTGAAGTGGAACTACCCAGCTTATTCTAATGAAGAACTTTCTGATATTTTAATGTTTATTTGCCTATATTTTTTCCTTGTCTTTCCCAAAACAATTGAAAAAAATTAGCTTTGGTGTAACTGCCGAACCTGGACTATCTTTAAAACAATGAAACATACTGTAACGCAATGTAAGACAATAAAAAAGCATATTCAGCTGAAACTATAGTCACATGACTTTTGAACTTCAGTTGAATTGAATGATGAAAGTGAAGTTTTCAGCGAGGATACAGATGCAAGCCCCACATTCAAAAGGTGGCAACTAGTCTCACCCCAACACTGTGTAGTTATTATCATCTGAGTTGGTTTTTTTTTACACCAAATACAACCAAGATGTGGAGCATTAAGAAGCAGAGTCAAAGATTCACAGTCCAGATGAAAATACACAACTTGAATAGCATTAAGATGAGGTATGTGGGAGGATTCTAATGTAAAGTTAATCTTTATTTTTCAGTGTTTGTTGCTGATTTGCTGGTTTATATTCCTGCAGTTATTTTATATTGTTTTTCCTTGAAAGAAACATCTACTAAAAAGAAGGCAAGTATCTGGTGTGTGTGTAAATTAAAAAACAAAGAAAACATACTGTTAAAACAGGGTAGAAATGTAACAGTATGTAAAAGAGTTAATTAAAATATAGAACACAGCAATGGCTTCAATTGATGTAAAACCGATGACAATCAGTGTATCTTGTATTGAGGGCTTTTCAGTTAGAAAAAAAAAAAAGCCATTAACTTAATCTTACAGCAATTATTTTAGTGCTTTCAGTAACAATAACAAGATGCTCTGAAGTTTAGTAGCCATGAACTCCTGAATTATATTTCTTTCTGAATTTATTGCTTAGGTAGTAAAACCAAGATTTGTGCTGTGATATGGGGGAATCTAGGAACTGCTTTGTCTTGCACACTCCTTATGGTAGAACCAATACATTTTGGAATAATAAGTCTTCTGATTTTTGGAGTGGTTCCAATGTTTAAGACGGGTGTGGGTGATCTCTGAGCTGGTTGGCAAAGGGTGGGCTGGTCTCCCTTCAGTATTTTCTTATTTATGGAAAATCTTTATCCTTTTTTATTCCTCAAAATATTACTATAGATGATGACTATATATACTGAAGAAGATTCCTATATATAGCATGCACCATGGAGGGGCAAATTTTTGTACTGGAGAAGTAGTATAAGCTCCTCTGTCTTATGTCTAACTTAGAAGTAATTATTTTCCCGTCCTTTTTTGATCCTTTTTTCCAGGTTTCCAGTGCTCTCTGTATACTGCTTTATCCAGGCCTCATTCTTATTGACCATGGGCACTTCCAGTATCCTTGTTCTGCAGTGAAATGAATTTCCATTTACGAAGTAACACTGTTCTTTAGCACTTGTCTTTAGCTGGGAAGAGGGTTACCTTTGTATATGAAGAAAACTGTAAGTCTGAAATATGTTGGAGATAAATAGTTGATATTGGGACAAATCAATCCAAATGTGAATAGCATTCTTCCATGCCTCAAGCTTGTGTCTCTGTCAGTGACCTATTGCAGAAAACGTCAATGGTACTATGATAGTGAAAAGAATGATGGCTTGTGCTCCTGTGACTTGTGTTTGGAAAGAGATTCACCTTAGATCTTCCTAGATGGCAGAGCAGTGTGTCAAGTGTAGTTGTGTAAAATGTTCAGTTCTATAAAATGTGCCATTCTGTTTTGCCTTTACAATTACTTGAGACTGGATTAACTTCACTTAATGCCTAACCATTTAAAAGCTAGGCATCTAATACGAGTTAGGCCGTCAGAGCTAACTAGTCAATATTGGTGACAGACACCTTCACAGGTGGGTCTTTTTTAATAAGATCTCTGGTTTTTTTGCACATGGACAAGCAAATGCTATTAGCTGACTACTCCAGGCTATGGTACTCAGTGCTGTCGAGCTAGAGGGACACCATCCTGCAGTTGTAATAAAGGTAGATATTTAAATATTCCAAGGAGATACTGAATCTCAGCATCTACTACTAAATCAAGTTTTGACAATCAAATAGTTTACTAATTTGTGGTTTTCTTCCAAGAGAGGGCATGGTGAACTTGAAGATGATCTATCTTAGAAAGCAGATTTTGAAGGAAAAAAATTCATAATGCTATGGGATATCTGAGTTACAGTTCAGGAATTCTGAAATTCTACTTTTGCCCTGACTCTTTAACGATGTAGATCATCTGGAGACATCACTTACCAGAATGGGAATGGGAATGAATGCAGGTCATTTTAGGCGAGAGAAGCTGGTGGTCAGAAGGCGGCACAGGGTCACAATTTTCTAATATGTAAAAGATGTACAAAGAGGAAGGCAATAATCTGTTCTGTGTCTTGTGTTGGATAGGGCAAGAAGTAACGGCCCTAAGCTACCACAGGGAAGGTTTGTGTTTTTTAAATACATGGAAAAATCTTTGGAACCATAGTTACAGTGAAATGCTGGAATAGATTGTCTGTGGATGTTGTGGAATCTGCAGCATCAAGATCTTTAAGAAAAGGTTCAGCAAACCTCATGTCAGGAATGACACAGGTGCAGCAGACACTGTGTTGAAGCAGACAGATGTTCTGCATTGTGTCCTGTGGTCTCTTCCAGCCCTGTGACTCTTACGTGAATAACTTTCACTATTTGTGACCAGCTGCTGACAAGTCAATAGATTTACTTAACCTTAACTGCTGCTGCATGTCTCTGCAAGATCACAGCCTTTTGGTATAACAATTTGTTGATGAGATTTCAAATATACATGGTGATTTTGAGTGGGAAATTTGAGTGGGCTGAAAACAACGTAGACAATCTGAATGTGTTATTACAGCTATTTATATTGACAAAGAGAAAACAAAATATTGTGAGATTTCTGACAATACAAGTATCTTTTACTTGCTTTCTCTCATTGTGTAAAAATAACAGTAAAAGACAAAGCTAATCTTTTATTGCAATTTAATAGTAAGTGTAGCTTAGTCTCTTCAAACTGTACTGAGCTTGGGAACCTGTTCTCAAAGTCATAAGGAAGTAACGTTGCTTTTAGTAACTATTACTCATTGTTTGTACAGTATTAGCAGCTAAGGGAACTGGTCATGGATGAGGGTGCATTGCGAGTATAATATAATCACAAAAACCTCAGGAGTCCTTGAACTAAATAATACATAATTTGAATACTGACGTATTTGATTATTCTGCACATATCTTTTGGGAGCTGGGAGGAGAGACTCTTGAAAGGTTTATCCTTAATCATGTAAATACCAAGAAAAAAATATTTACCCTGATGCGTCTTACCAAGTAGTGTTACTGTCACCAAAAGCTTGGTTGACTGAGTATACGTTACGTGTATAATTAACACACACATGCACAATTTGTCCTCATTTTTGCCTGTGCAAGGTTTGAATCAAGCCTTGGAAATAGAAAAATTACACTTTAAATAGAAGTAAAATTATTTCTGTCTGTGAACAAAATAGTCACAACTGGCAATGTGATTTTAAAACTAACTTGGAAAAACTTATTTTGCATGCTGTTTTATGCTTGTCCCTCAGGGCATTCATTACTGACTTCCAGTACTATGATGTGTATCTTGTCCTTGACATAAAAAAACATATACAACTCAGTGAGCCTTGGCTTTGCCTTGTGGGGTGTAATTTATTTGTCTTATGACTGGGACCTTTTGGGGTCGGCAGCATTTTGCTTGGCCTTAAATTATAAGCAAATGGAACTCTACCATTCTCTGCCCTTTTTTTGCTATTTACTTGGAAAGTGCTTCAAGAAGGGACTGAAAGGAAAGGGGTAAGTGACTTTAGACTGTTTTATCTTTCTCAAGAATATGCCAGGCAGCCTGGCATTGAGAATGTGATTCTCCTTATTTGCATGTGGTCATTTCTGAATTAATTTCTAGTGGAAGGTACTTACCTTGTTGTAATATATTCCTCTCATGCGAAATAAACATTTCTTGTTGAGATCTACGTTAAGTATTTCCACTGAACAAATAGCAAAATCTGTGAAGCTGTCCTTTCTTAGCACTCTTCAGTCTGTAAGCTAAATTAAATATGGGCTACAGTGGGCAACCAGATTAGATTGACAGCTCTGTGGTTCTCATGGAGTTCTCGCTACTCTGGGGATGATGAACTTTCTGTGGTACTGGTAGCCCTTTCTGTTTAGATTTGTTACCTTCAGTTCTGTATCCCTTTTAAAAAACGGTTTATGCTATAAACTAAGAACTGACTTTTGTTACCAATAGTTGGATTTATCTTTTCTGATGTAAGCTTTTCTCTTGATTGCAGGTTAGTATTGTTAACTAAAATAGCAGGGACAGTGGTGGTTTGCTTTGCTGTCTGCTGGCTCCCGTTCTGCACCGACATGGAACAAATCATGCAAGTACTCAGAAGACTCTTGCCCATTGACCTCTTTCCCATTGACCGAGGCTTGTTTGAGGCATGCATGTTTTCTTCTCCCCCACCCCGCTGTAAATGTTCTGTATTCTTAGATCCCTTGAGAAACCTTCATCGTGACCTTTAGGGATTTCATGTGGGAGACACACCACAGAACTAGTAATTTGAGATGGCTTCTTCAGCAGTCATTTCTTGCCAGTTATTTAATCCAGTATTTAACCCCAGCTCAGCTGGCATCTTCCAGGATATTATATGAGTAGACAACACTTATCCCATCATCAAACCCATACTTCAATCCATACATTTTTCCATTGAAATAGATTCCATAGTAATTGACAGTGTCAGAAGATGTAACTTTAAAAGTTAACAGCTTCAGTCTCTGTCTTTGGTTCTGCTCAGCTTTTTTCAACAAGATTAATTATTTTTAAAAAATTTTAAAAATAGTGTTTTGGATGCATCCTAGAACTTCCTTTTTGACCCACCTTGTATTTTCAGTGCAAGTTTCCACAATATTTTCCAGAAGTTTTGGGACAGTTCTGCTTTTACTTTTCCTTAGGCTATCAACATTCGCATGCTGCAAGGTGCTGAGTACAGTAGCCTTAATCCAGTAAAGCAATTACTCATTTACCTAATGCTAAAGCCACAGGAGCCTCGCTGATAAAAGAAAGGGTACTCACTTCCCAAGTAACAGTGAGTTGTTGTTGTTTTGCTTAATTAGGGCATGAGTCTTACTATTACTTTTAAAAGCAAATTCTCATCTTCAAGTTTAACCAGTAAAATGAAGCTTTGAATTTCCAAGTTTTGATGTCACAGGGATTTAAGCAAATGCTTTCATGGTTTGATTCATCTTAAATTGTCTTTTAATCTTCTTTAGATATAAATAATACCACGACTGGCACTTTTTTCTTCAAACGTTAATGCTGATGTACCAAAGGCAGCATTTTATTTAGGCAGCAGTATGGAAGTGTTCTCAGTGTATTCTCTGCTAGTTTATTAAAAAATAACAGCAACAAAAAACCCCAAACAACAACAAAACCCAAAAAACATACCACCCCACCTCCAAACATAACCCCGACAAAAGACACCCCCCTCCAGTGACCCTATTCCTTGGGAATTATCTGGAATTTATAAATAAATAGTTTTGGTCACCACACTTTTTATCCAGCACGAAGTTTAAAAATGAGATCTGTAAATGACAATAACCAATGAGTCCAAAAGAGCTTAAGGATTTTAGTCTAATATTAGCCCAAATATTTTCTGAGTTGATCAGGGGAGTGACTTGCTGGATGCTAATCTAGATAAAATGCGAAATTGTCCACGTAAGCAATGCGCAGTAAATTTATACTGGGGTGCGTGTAACAGGTTCTTTGAATAGGTTCCCATTTACAGAAGCAGTAACAAATGCTGATGGTTGTAAAATCGTATTGGCTATTAAGTAGGCGTCCTGTGCGTTTGCTGGTGCTGCCAAACCCTCTGTTCACTTGTAATCCTCAGCAGATTTGAAGTGCATATTCTGTATTGCTGGTGAGCATATGAGGAAGATGGCTCAGTTGTTGGTGCTAGTAGCTTTCTTGCTGTTATGTCTACACAGCTGTGATTCAAGCAGCTGTTTAGGGATGAGTTTCATGAGCATGATAGCTGTAGTTACAAATTTAATTTTGAAAGTGATCCTAGCACAACTGCTAATGTCTTTAGACTTCTTGATTTATTAGAGGTTAACTCTGTCATTGCTAGCAAGCAGTAAGCACAGCTAAATACATTCAGGTATGTAATGAAATGTGACAGTATACAGGATGTCTTTACATTTGAAAAAAAGATTCATATATGCCAGTGTTTAATCAGGGACAGATAGTTTCCCAGCCTTATTTTCACAAAATGTGTGATCTCATGAGTTAAGAAATAGTCTCTTGTGCTGAAGAACTATTTCTTAGTTATTTTAGAACATGTTTTAATTGAGTCTCTTGAAACTTTCTGGTTTTGAAGATCAGAATAATTTAAAGTACATCAAAGAATCTGATGTATATCTGCAAGTGACTTTTTGCAGCATCACGGTAAAAACCCTACCTTCCAAGCCCTGTTGTTGTCACAAACATAAGTTTAAATTGATGTAATTATCACTAGTTACCTTTTTTTTTTCCTTCCAGGATAAAGTAGCCAATATTTGGTGCAGTCTAAGTGTCCTTATAAAGATAAAGAATATAGTATCACCTCAAACTCAACTAAAACTCAGGTAAGACATAACTGAAGTGCTTTAGGTAGTTTTTTATTTGCATTATTTTTTGCAAAATGAGTAATTTTTGTCAGAGTTCACAATTCTGTTTTTTGAGTAAGTGAACAATTCAAGTCTAGGTCTACAGGGTCTACGTTAATGGAAATGCTTTATTCCTTTTTCAAAAGCACTTACGTCAGTGAAGACCGCCCAGTGCTCTTCTCTTGTGATTGAGTCTCCTTGAGTGATTTTGTACTTCTGAATATTACAATTGAATTCCTAACTTACATAGTTTTCAAAAGTTATTATATGGTATCATGGATGTAGTTACTCACGTATTAAAACTGTTTTTCTTACAAAATTGTTTAGTTTTGCTGTAACATTCCTGAGCCTGCTTCCTACTTGTATAAAACTAACCGTCCAGCCTTCTCTCCGAGGATTTAAATTTGCTTTGGTGAGTGTATGTTTTTAATGGCTCCTTGTTTCATATCCAGCACTGGTGTGTGACCAACAGTTCTCCTTACAGTTGCTGCAATGTGCAGAAGTGCGTGTACCATTAAATGCCGTTCTGTTTCTGCTGAAGAGGTTGGTTAAAAAGGGTATTGCTATCTCATGGCCAGGGGCGTCTGATTGGTCTTTTAAATCCAGACTTTTTTCCTTAGCCTCAATTTTCTTTATTTAATGCTGTATTTTTATTATCTTCCTCTGAAGAGTCTTTAGAAGATTCCGTACACATTAAAGCCTCACATAGAGTTGGAATTTCTCCTCTTTCTGTTTAGCTTCCAAAGTGCTAGTTTTTCTTACTGCATTGGCTGCAAAATTCAATAAAAAAGCCCCGAGATGGGCATTGTAAGCTCATTAGCAGTTTGAAAAGAAAATGATACTATTTTCCCAAATGTTTGCCTTTTCTTAGTCATATTATATCATTGAATTTAAGCATTTCAACATGACTTGCAAAACTAATTTAAGCACGTTAACATGGAAAAATCGGTTTTCCTTGAAATCAAAATTATATGGAGCTGGTCCTAAGGTTTCAAGAGTTACAAGAAAATTTCTATTTTTAATTTTATGTGAGTACTGTTTGAGAGTTTATTGCAACATTGTCCAAAACTAACATTTATCCTTTCTAAGAATTGGTTTATATTTTACAGTGTGTTTTTATTTGGTGGGGGAAAAAAGACAGTTTGTTTACTTCGATGTATTGGCTGTTCATGATGATGAGCAAAATTTTGTGTCAAAAAGGTGGGTAGTTCTCACCGTGACTGAACTTTGCTAGTGCTTATGTATGTGAATATTGTGTTTACTTGGTGGGGATACTCTTGTCAGTAAAGCTAAGCAAGAGTGAGGGCTCTTTATATGAAGTGCTTTCTGAATAATTCTGGTTAAATTTTCAAACAATGTATATTTTAGTATTTATAGGTGGTTACAGAAGCAGCTCTATGTACTTGTAAATTGCACTGGAGTAAATGTAGCAGCTAATTAGAAAAATCAGATCATTTAGCTCATACATTCATGTAAAGTTTATGCCAGCAGAGAAACTAAAACGGTGCTTGGCATTGCAGTCACATATACTAATATATTTCTGATTTCCTTTTCTAAGGTTAGTTGTGCATTGTCATTTTTCCTGTTCTCCTTTCAAGTACATGAAAAATCTATTCTTCTAGTGTCAGTGTAAGTAAATTATTTTTCTGTGGGTATACTTCAGACTTCTTTTCCTCATCTTGTTACTGCATGCTGCTTTCTCACTTACAAATATATCTGATTTTAAAAACTCTACGTGGGGTTGGTTAAGGCAACGCTGCCATGGACAGCAGAGACTTGTACTTAGCTGCCCAGCAAGGCTGGAGCACAGCGGTAAGTTGAACTGGGCGATTGATACCTCACTATCAGCGTCGGTAAAGGGGCCTTCTCTCCCATTGTCATTAAGATAATGTTTTTCCCATCCCCTGCCCCAAAGGAGGTGAGGGCAGCAGGGACAGTCGGCAGCTTTGCTCGTTGGCGTGGATGTCCTAGGAGTGCCTGAAAGTAATGTTTGATAAAGGAGGACGGGGAGAGGCAGCCCTCTTAACACTTCTGGTTCATGCCTGACAGGAAGGCTAAGCTGCTGGTTAGAGAACTCCTGTTCTCGCTATAGGCGGTTGTCTAGAAGTTACAGGTGCTCCTCGAAGCCAGCGAGAAGCCTTGCACAGGGCACTAACCCGGCTGTCTGCGTGCCAGTGGCGCGCACCGTGAGCGTTCTGCTGAGCGCCTCTCCTGCGCACAGCCCTGTGCAGGGCAGAGTCTTTGCACGTTGGGGTTCAGTGGGGTGTAAGGCGGAGCAGGGTGCCCCAGCAGAGGATGCAGCGCTTTGGGCGCTGCCTGTTCCTGGACTTTCTGAGCCCGTGTCACTGGGGCGTAGAGCTCTGCCCTGCCTCCCAGATGTGGGAGTGCAGCATCCATGGGAAAGATTGAGGATGAAGTGCTGTCACCTCAGTGTTTGCATATCTGTTTTTCCTCTCTTCATTCTAGACCAGTCTGCTTAATCATAAATGAAATCCCTTTTATGGCTACGTGGTTTTTACTTGTATCAACTTTCAGGTGAGTTGGACAGTATTAACATTATTCTAAAACAGCATTCTTCCCCAATTCTAGTAAGTATAAAAGTATTCTTTTTCCTCTTCTTTTTACATTCTTTGAAATACAACTTGGAATGTGCACTCACTTCTGTGGGTAATTCTGTTTTAACAGTATGTTGCCTCTTCTGCTGAAAGACGGCCTGCTGCTGGCTTTCCTGTCAGCCTGTGTGGCTTCCTTTTCCATATTTGAGAAGACTTCAGCAGAGGACCTGCAGCTGAAACCATTCTCCCTTTCCCTGAAGGGATATGTTTCTTGGTTTAAGTCATTTCCAAAGATTGTCAGGAGTCTGGTAAGCAATTTTAATTCCTATAACTCTTAGTTGCAGCTCTTCATGGTAATGAAGTACTTGCACAAACCAGTTTTATGTCCGTAACTGTGTATAAAGCCCCAAACAGGGAAAGCGACGCTATCTCAGTGTAAAGGTGTGCTATAATTTTTTTCTGCAATGTCATCTATGTATAGATTGAAGAATACAGAGCACCCAAGTAATGAAAGTAACAGCTTACTCACTTGAGGTGTCAAATCATCATTAGCTGATATATCATTCCTTATCTTACAGTTTCTTCTTTCCATAACCCTGATGGGCGTCCTGTCTGTAATGAGCGCTGCAGTGCATCCTCCACAGAGGTTACCGGATTTATTCCCTCTATCCGTGTCCATTATTTCTTGCTTACACTTTCTATTATTTTTGGTGTATTTTAATGTTGTTATACTCTGGGACTCAAAGAATAGTAGAAGTCAGAAGAAAATCAGTTAATCAGCCCGTAAAGATCAAGGACTAAACTGTGAAAGGACAGAGTATTTTCAGTGAATGGTGTCTGGCATTGCAGGTAAACCTCTTTGTGATGTAATACAGTTCCTGTAACCTAATGAAAATCAGGAAACACATTATGCATATTTAAACACAAAATAATCCAAGACTGTTTTAAAGGAGAAGTATTTTGAAGAGCACTTGGAAATGTGATTTGGTGTGTTTTCTTCGGAAGTATACTACTTTTTGTTACCATTTGTAAACTTAAAATACCTAATAAAGGACCAAATTTTGAATTAATGCTAAAATATCCGGCTGTATTAGCAAAACGGCAAACTATTTTGTTAGCATTAAGTTTACACATTTCCCAGCATAAAAAGCATAAGCAAGTGAACTAGTGTGGGTTAAATAGCAACTCTTGACTGGTAGTCCTTAAGTTGTCTTGCTGAATTGTTTTATGACATAAACTTGTGTAGTCAGTCACTGTCCTCCATCATTGTTTCATATAGCACACTGCAGTTCATCCAGGCTGTTGCGCAAGGCTGTGTGTCCGTGTGAGGAACACTCCGGACGCTGTGATCAAAGCAGAGCATTTGGTTCTTCAGCTAATGTCGTAGGGAAGAAAACGCAACCTTCCCGCAGTGTCCTGGAGATCTGTATGCTCAGCCACAAGATGGACCCAAGTCCTGTAGCAGCTTCAGTTCACCCCCAGGGTTTTGGTTTTCTGGTATGGTAATATGTGTTATTTTCCACACTGCCATACTTTCAGAATGCTGGAGAATCGCGTCAGCCACAGAGATGCACCAGAGTGAGTGCTGGGTGCAGAAGGAGAGGCTGTGACATTTGGAAAGGGGGAGGTTCTTGTGCATGCGGCGGGTTGCAGTACGTTTCTTCCTTTGCTGTAGATCAGCAGCTATGGTTTGGTTTTAACACTAGTGTAGTCTCGTGACTCTCAACAACTGTTGTAGCAGGACTGAGAAGCCAAAAAACCTTGGTTCTACTGAAATAATAGCTGAGGTACTGCAGTGCAGGTACTAGGCTCTTCAAAAAAAGAAAAAAAAAAAAAAAAAGGAAAAAACCCACAATAAAACACACCCCTTATTGCATAGTAATTTGCAGATGTAAACTGAACTAAACTGCAGTTTCTCCCTCTGCACAGTACAGCATCCACTACCAATAGTTCAGTTCATTCCAAATTGATGGAATAATTATATACATAACAAAGCATGTAGTAAGAAAATAAATCATAAAGCAATTCATGGTAGTATAGTTTAATTAGGAGTCAGTCTATCCTTTTTCTTAATTCTGCTCTGACACTATATATATACACACACACACATACATATATTAAAAAAAGCAAACCCATCCTTGTTTAAAGGCTTCTCCCCTGACCTCGCTGCACTCTGCCACATACCAAACTGTCATTGACATTAGCACGTTCTGGGGCTGTCTCTGCAGCATCGGTGGTGAGTGTGTGAATCAGCTGTTCTGTGAACTTCCAACTGTGTGAGTTATGAATACTGTAAATGAAGTGTCTACAAGCTGAGTGTATTTATTCAGTTTTTCCAGCTTTATTTGTTGTGGAAAAAGTAACCTCAGCCAACATTATACCCACGGCAGCTGAGCCAAAATAAAAAAGGTGCTCTTGCGTAGTAATTGTAATGTTACCGGCGGTTGAGTACAGTTTAGCAGTTTACCTACACTGTAATGGTTCACTATAAAGCAACAAATCTTAAATATTTTTGCAAGTATTTAGAATTTTTCTGAGGGTGTGCGTGCAAGAGCTCTGCTCACAGCATGGCCTTTCTTTTTAGGAGCGTAGGCTGAGTGGCACTGATGTGTATCAATAGGAATCTTTGTCTCCAGCGGCTGCAAAAGCTAAAAATCACAGCACTCCCTCCAAACACGGCTGGGTGGAAGACTGCCAAAAGTTCAGGCAGCTTGAAGAACGTCTACTTCCAATGAAACAACATGTGAAAGAGCAAATGAAGATGGAAGGAAGCAGAAGGGTTTCAGGTTCTAATTAGCCTGTTCTCTTGTGTTCATCACGAGATCATGGTGCAATCCTTCCCACCCATATAAAAACATTAGTTTTGCCTGTATCCCTTTTCTTTGTCCTTGAGGTGGCCTCCAGGGGTGATAAAGTGAGAGTCATACGATCCACCTGGGGTGGAACTGGAAATGGTTCTTAACAGACCCAGCTGTTTCTGAAAGGCAACAGCCTAGTACACCAGGAGGTCAAAGAAACAGTAAGTGCTTAAATAGCTACAGCATGTATGAGGAGTATTTGCAGCTGAATCTTAGTATATAACTTTGTATTTCCCAGAAAAATGATTAAATACCAAATTTCATGGTATTTAATAATTTCCATGGTGTAAGTTACTGCTGTAACTCATTGTCGTCCATCATCCCCTTACTGTTATTTTCTGTAAAAAATTTATTTTGTTCTTCTAAGACTGCATAGAACAGCTTGATTTAGAGTGGCATACAGTTCATTTACAGACTCTTTTCAGATCGATGATTATTTAATTTCCAGCTACAGAGGTTACAATCAGGTTATATAAACTATTGCTGGTTCAGGCTAACCTTCCACTACCATTCAAAGCAATCAGCTGGTGAATCTTACACATACAACAAAGAACCAACAGCACAGAAAGCTTAAATGAGAATGGTATAGAAATTAAAAAAGTAACTGACACAATTCCCTTCAAACAATTACTAACATTTTTTCCAATCAGACTGCACAGGTATTAAAGTGCAAAACCATTTTTATCAGTTAAAAAAAAAACCTCACAAAGCTTGCGTGTGTACATGTTTAACCACACACTGGAACACATTTATCATTTTGGTTCTCAGAATTTTCATTGTAAAAAATCAGTTTATCTGTTTAAGTAACAGTACTTTGCAGTGGTAGCAAGAAAGGATATTCAGTTCTGTGCATTTATGTTGAACTTTCTCTCTTGCGCGCTGAAGAAAAAAAAAAAAATTCATTCTAGTGCACTCTTTCAACAGGAGAGAGGCTGCACCTAACTCAGTCACCGATTTGAGACAAGAGTATTCACTAGGTTGGAGAGATGGTTCTGAGGATAATGAAAAAGGGAAGAAACTGTTTTATAGCAACTCTCCCCATATACCAAAACTAAGCTAAAAGGTGACCTACAAAGCAAATGTTATTAGAGCCCTGTGTTTTAACGCTGTGAGCTTGAAGCCGATACCTTTATACAGTGTGTCTTGGGGTGACTGTTGAGGAAACATCTTTGTAGATGACACATACGTCCCTAACCGTGGCAGCCAGAGACAGGGAAGGTGTCATTTGTAAACAACTTTAACACGTTCAGCACTCAGAATAATGTCTTGCACGCTAGAGCTTCCTCCTCCTTTTGGGCCCAATCAGCATTAGAAAAAGTTGTAAATTTTTAGGCAGGCTGTTGCAAAACTAGATGCGTTAATTTAAATCATGTTTTGCTAGCATTTGGGGGATGATGAATCGATTAAATGAGCGTGGATGCACACCCACACCCCCCCGGCAGGAAGCAGCCATTTCCCACCGGAGGCCTGGGATCCAAAGTTCATCTTTTAATCTGGTTTCTTCTCACCCAGTTCTTGGAGGGAGCATTATAGTGGGGTTTTTTTGGGTGTTTTTTTTTTTCTTTTTAAAGAAAAACAAGGCAGCATAATTATATATTTGCAGTAAGAACATACAGAAAATATAGTTTATTTTCCATGCAGCAGCAAACCTAAATCAGCATTTTGTACCCACGCTTGCATAAACCAACCATGATGTATTATTTACATTGAGATTATCTGGTTGTGCACATTGTTAAGTTTAAATAGATGCCAGAAATTTTATCTAGATGTGCACCTGCCTAGCGCAACGAGCAATCCCAAACTGGTATTTGCTGGGGAGATAGGTTTACAGTCATTTCTTCTCTCCTTTTAAGTACAGTCAAGCAGATGCAGAACTTTGGGTTGATGAGGAATGCATTTTTCACATAATGCCTGTATGGAGATAAGGAATGACTAAGATAAATAGCAATCAGACAACAGCGTCATCATTCATGTGATCTGTTCAGAATTATATGTCTGTCCTACGTCCAGTACTAGCCTCACTGCATAAAAAATACAGACTCACACACACATCCTAAGGCAATGCAGAGCAACAGACGGTCTCCCTTGAACTGCAGTAACATTTTAAGATGTTCTGAGGAAATGCTGTAGTTTTTATCTGTAGAAAAAGTTGAGAAATAATTGCTAAAAGATCATTTAGCTTTCACAACTATATTTTTTAAACAATAAGAAAGCAAAGGGCTTTACGGCGTTGGTCACACTTGGGAAGGGATAGAGAGAACCAGAAAAAGTAAATGTGTCTTTTTTTGGACATAAGGTGCAAACACAATATTCACTGATTAGACGATAGTCGAGACAGGAGTGCTCTCTGAGCTAACTTTGAATCGAAGCCTTGTAGTTGTGGTCAGTATGAGTTCAGCTGACGCTAATAAGCCAGGGTAAGACTTAAACTGCTTATTGTACCATAGAACGGTCACGCTCTGCATTCTCCAGGACTCACTCAGAAATTACGCTGAATGGTGAAAATGAGCTGCTAAACAGGATGCTAGCGCTGCTCCCCTGCACTGGTTTCTGTCCCTTGATTACTCTGTTCCCAGCCTGTGGTGTGATAGTTGGTTTGGAAGAAGTAAAGAGTACAAAGAATCTCTGGCATAAACAGCTAATAAGTATTAGGGTAACATTAGCTTGTGGACCAGCAGGGTTTTAAAGCTTTTTTTTTGCTACTAGGTTACTTGTGATTACAAAAATAAAATTTAACCTTCATTGAGAAGCACAATGCATGTGTCTGAGCTCACCCCTGCACTAACTCAGTTATACAGCTTGTAAAACCTGGAGATCTACTTTTCCGCATTCCTCGATTACAAGATTAGAATACTTTCACTTTCCAAAGGAAAGGTGTTCTCACACTGTACAGGGAATTCATATAATCTGCAGACATCCTCATCTTTAGAGACTTCTTTGTCTCAGCAGACTTTATGAAAGATACGAGCAGCCAGTTTTCTCATGCACAGGTAATATATGATGATAGACAAGGCCAGTCGCTAACTGGGCTTTTGCTTACAACACTGGAACAAAGATGAGTAGCCAAAGGAGGAAGAATTTAAAACCCTATAAAACATGGCTTGAGGTGTCTGTTAATACATTGTTTTATGCTTTCTGCTCTGGGAATGCTAAGAAAGTTGATGTGGTGGATTGATCAGCGGCGAGCCCCGTCTGAGGTGCACGTGCAGAGATGGAACAGGAGGGTGAGATGACCCTGGGGAGGCGGGCGGTTGGAAGTGGGCTGCTGCTGCTGCTGCTATTGCTATTTCAACCGGACCATCTGCCCTGCAGTCCACTGTCCTCTCCTGGAAAAGAGCTGGGCTGTTCCAGCTGGCTTGTACGGCCTGCCAGGAGTGAGCTGAGGAGTCTACCTATGCATTAATAACAGCGAAGAAGGGTGCACACAGCAGCTTTGCAGGAAAGCAAACCCTGAGCCCAGTGAAGTACCCCTGCCATCGATAGCATAGCAGGGCTGCAGGAGGCAGCCTCCTTGGTGAATTCCACGGCATCGGTTGTGGCATTTAAGAAGATATAATCTGAAGTACACAAATTTTCCTGTTTTCATTACGTGTATTACAGCTAAATTGCCATTCTTGAAACAACATCCAGTTAGAAACAGACAGCGTTGACGAGGAGAAATGCTATCAGATGTTTTAGAGTGGGACAGAGTTTCTACAGATTCAGTATGTCATTTTGCTTAACAAACCAGTAACGAGAAATACCACACGCAGAGTAACAACTGTTTCCCCATCAAGCTATTACAGTCTTGACTGCAGGCCTACATACTAGATCACTCTGCCAATGTTTTAAAATCAAGTACCTCAGTCCTTCTGATCCTACTACCCGTACGTGGCAGCTGGAGAAGCCACACAGCAGACCAAGGGGCTACTTACCTCAGTCAAGGAGCGACTTCAGGAAGGCAGAGCTACTGGCAGTCTGGACATACTCTGTGGAGGAGGAAAACCAGTTTTGATAAACACAACAATGGTGTTATTACAGAATTTATGAAAATCCCCACACAAATATGAGTTAAATAAGTTACTGCGGTGGTTAACAGAACCCCTTTTACTTCATACAGTTACTGTGTCTCAACAGTTATTTAGGAGATTGCCTTAATTACTTGTGAGTGTATGCACATATGCTGTATCATTACCAATGATGACAAAGCAGAACAGAATGTGTTACGAGTATTAGAAGCTGGTCCTTCTTTTTTGCTATTAATAATAAGAGAATAAATAAAAATCCATAAGGACCGTATCAGCAGACCTGTATCAAAGATTGCATGAGAGGAACAACCATCCCTTGGGTCCTCTGAGGGGATGCCAAAAAGAGAGGCAACCACACCTGAGCTCCTTACTCAAGGAGGGCAGGGTCAGGGTGAAGGGCTGAGCAGATGGCTGGAAGAAGTGGAGGAAAAGTGTGCGAGGGTAGAAAGGAACTCAGGGAATGAGAACATACGGGGAAGGGTCTGGAAGCAGGTGCATCTGAGTGCCAAGATTTCGGAATGGCTTTCTGCAGCAGATGATCAGCTCTGGTCTCAGTACCCTTCGTGTCTGCTGATGGTTCATACTGCATTTTGATTCCACCACCACAAAAGGGTGAAAGGAATTCAGAATTATTTGCTTTATGTTAAACATACTGAGAACAACAAACAGATAGTTACAGCGGCTTATAGCTAAAAAGACTCCTACTATGAGGAAAGGGGCTGCATATAAACCTAGTTGGAGAGAGGCATCAGAGCCACTGAAGACACGGGTGGTGGTGGGGAAGATTCCCCTCAGTTCCTCAGTTCTCCTCATGTGGCATGCTGTGATTTCTCCGGTGTCACACGCTTCCTATATGGGACGTGACGCAGGAGACCTGCCTGTGGATCTGACATGAGGTGCCAGTGACATTGCCTGGAGCTGGCCCAGACCGAGCCAGAAATTCTGTCCTAAGCTAAGTCTCATAAGATTACTCCATAAAAAAGGCATCCAATTCAACTTTGCCTCAGGTACAACTTTTCCGCATTGTACCTAATAAACACCACTTGTTTACACAAATTATCATAAAAAAAATACCACTAACTATTGCTTAAAATAGGAAACTGTGCAGTCTTGCGGGACAAGTAACAGAAAAAGACTGAGATTTAATTACAAGTTGGTTTCTTTGTGCTAAATGTAACTTCCTAATTCAGTCTTTATGAACCCTTTAATCACTGATTGCAGCATTCTGACTCTGCAGTACTTAAAGAACCCATACATGCCAGAGCAACCATGCCAAGATCTGCACTCCACTCTGAGAAGCTGTCTTAAAAAATGTAAGCTGCCCAGATTCATGTAAAAAAGTCATTAACTCAGCTTTCTTTCCAAACATATACCATGATAGCACATTTTGACAAAACAGCCTTATTTATAGCAATATTTCTACAGATGGCATTAAGATTTAGATATTCAAGTAACCAAATAATACAATTTACTACTCATGTGCTCCAAAAACTTAGAATGCTTGTTGTAGCAGTTTAAGCTTTTTTTCTATGTGTGTGTGTGTGTTTGAGCTAATGAAGATAATGAGTTGCTCTTAAAAAACGCCAACAAAACAGACACCCCCCTCCCCCAAAACCCTCCTCTCTTGATATTTTTATATGCAGAACTCCTAAGTAAGTTAAACTACATAAAAGCAAAGAGAACATGAGCAAAACTTCTGGATGAAAATCTCTTGTGACCAGAGCAGCTGGGAAAGGAAGGCATCTGTGGAAGTGACCAGAAAGACATCTGGGCTGCAGCCGACTGCGGCACCAGCACTAGCTGGGTGCAGGACCAGCCTGCTCTCCTCATCAGCTGAGTGTTTCAGGGTCGCGTAGGGTAAGGCAGCAGCTAGAGAGTCACCAGAAACCTCACCCCTGCGCGGGTGGCTTGGTAGAAGCCTTGCTGCCCTTTGCCAGGGTGTCTCCTGTCCCCAGCCCGCAAAAGCATTAAAAGGGCAGAATCTTCCCAAGTTTCTTTTCGCCTCCTACTTCCACCACCTTTCTTTGCGAAGTTTGACTGCTCTAAAACATTTACAGATCTAAAAAGCAGAGAGAAAAAAAATGTTCACCTGTCAGGTGATATAAAACCAATCTTCTACTAAATGTGCCAGAATAATTTTTCTCCACCTCAACCACAGTTAAAACCTTCAGTCTATTCATTACTGTCTTTTTATAGTATTTTTATTTAATAAAACCTATTAAGACTACCATACAAATCTCTTTACTTATGCTTTTATCTTTTAACTGATCAATTTTTATATTGCTGACATCCCTTCTTCACCATTTGCTCATTTAAAAATTCATAGTATATGAGCTATGTCTCTGGAGAAAACGTCTATAAAATTTGTTACAGCTGGCAAATGTGTATGAGTCAGTGATAGCACATGACTAAATGCTTCACAGAAAATAAAATTTGTTTCTGTAGTAAGCAGAACTGTTTAAATGTTATTTATTTTTATGTTTCAAAGAAAATATATTGTGAAGTGCTGCATTGATTTAATACGCAACAATGTCTGTGTACACGCTGTACAAGGAAAATTTATGAAACCTTTGCACAACTCCTTTAATTGAATTTTCCAAATCTCTCACCACACACAAATAATCAATATCTTCTGCAGAGAAAACCAGTCAGAATTATTACAGTCTTTCTTTTCAATTTTGTTGTCATCAGCACATACAGAGCACCTGGATATTTGTAATGTCTGGATAGCAAGTTATTTACACCTCTTAAACATATAATTGCTACTAAGTGAGTCCAAACTAATGTTTCTTTTCTTTTTTATTTAAAATAATTATATTCATGGGAGAAAGCAGTATTTATTCTCACGTAGGAGTTGCTACGTGTAGGTGTTGAAAGAACTACAATTCTTTTTAGTTTTTCATTAAGCTTAATACTCTAAAGTCTACATCCACTAGAATTAAAAATTAATAGCTATTGCGTCTGTAAAAAGGTACATAGGAAAATAGAGTATAAACACAAGTGTGAAATTCATGAATAAATGTGGCTGATACCTAAATATAAAATGCAGGTTGACAGTTCTATATGTATATACATCTGAGGCCTATAGTCATATGTCTCATGTGCATTTCTGTATCTGCCACAAAAGTTAATAGCTTAATATTTCATCTACATAGCAGAGGATGTTAAATCATTGGAGAGGTTTGTGTTTTCCATCCAAAAAGCTTATCATGCCGGTGACCTCAGACCCAGACACTTCTCAAATCTCAGGCTGTATTTTAAAATACGCACTCTCAAGGTGCAAGTACAATCCAACAGGCCCATAACCTGCTGGGAAAGAGCGCAGCATTCGGGGGTCGAACAGAAACCTGTCCACCAGCTCCTTTGCCTTTCAGTAGCATTCTTTCAGTAGACAAGATGACTCACTTGTCCTAGGAAAATCACTAGCATTGCAGATTTTGGGTACCGGGCTAAGTGGGTTTTGTTACCTCTCCTGGACTGTAAAGGACTTTGCATGGTTACAAACTAAAAAAAGACCCCCTTGCACAGAATGAGAGAAGATGTACAGTCACATTTAGCCTAAGTAACAAGAGCTTTTAATCCACACAATACTAATTAGAATACAACACACTCCTCCTCAAGGTGCATTTTGGGGCAATCCCACAGTTAGTTTTGATTGTAAATGCAGGAGGGGAGAACGATTTCTCTGGGTCTCTGCACGGGGACGTTCAAAATAACTTACGAGTAAGCAAAACAGGTGAGTTGCACTAAGTCCTTGAGTGCAAATGCACATTCACATGTTCAGCACTGAAGCAGTCAATTCTGTTTTGCTTAGTGCAGTCCCATTTACAAGTGTTCACACTGAGGTATAACTTAAAAACATAACTGAGATTAACTTTTCCCCACGTCTACTTGTAGAAAAGCCTTGTGAGCAGATAGATCTTCCACACGGAAGAGCAGATGAATGAGGCCAGGCTCCCTCCCGTACCACATAAACAAAGTTAGGATTTCTTGAAGCTGTCTCACCAATGACATAGCACATAAGACTCAAAGGGTACACTCACTTCCATCAGCTGGTTTCAGCTCCAAGGAATCATCCACCAGTTGGGAATGCGTGCAGTGCATCTGCACAGTCTCTCTCGTTAATCTGCCATTCACCTGCACCTTAAGGGCCTAAGGCGTGCCAGTCACAGTGACTGCTCTTCTAGAGGAAATCCTGCAAAGTGCTGCCCAGCTGTAGCCCCTTCGTTCCGCTTTCTGGCCTTGAGAAGACTCTTGGCCTAAGGGTTCTCTGTCCTGTGGTAAAGGCAGGTATGTACTCCATATTGCAGCTGCATTACAGATACAGTCTGTGTAAGCGTCAGCGCTGGCCTACACAGCCTTGGACATACAGGCTTTCTGGTACTGGGTTGACTGAACTTGAATGCAATTGAGTATCAGGCTTTAGAGCGTATTTTCAGACCTTCAGAAAATATCGATTCTTAATTCAATTTCTGTCTTAGTTTCGCAGCCTTTCTGAGTAGGCGAAGAGGGGAACTCGTATCTTGGTTGCATACAGGACTTAAGTGAAAGAGTACTGATGACCATCATAGAATCATAGAATCATTAAGGTTGGAAAAGGCCTCTAAGATCATCGAGTCCAACTGTCAACCCAACACCACCATGCCCACTAAACCATGTCCCTAAGACCATGTCATCTCTCTTCCAAACACTATGTAGGGACATCAACTCAGAGCAGACATTTCTGACGTGTGACAAAACATCAAACTTGGCCTTTAGTGTTAAGAACTTAGGTAAGCATATCGTTTGCCAACACAAGCTCTAAGTCTCCATCTAGTAATAATCTATTTGAAAAAAAGTCCTTGAGCATCATCTTTGTTGCTTTTGGAGATGATGTACATCACGAAAAGGCTGCTGGAGAAACCTTGTTAAACTTTTGCTGGAAAGACGCCTAGGATTTAACTGAAAGGACCTGGGTAGAACTAAGGAACTGTTGTTTCTGTCAGCATTAGCAGCTTTTTCCAAACAGATTAAAAATGTGGAAGAACTGAACTTCAGAAAAGCCTCTATCACAAATGCCTAGAAGTAGTCTTTGCACAAACTAGAGCATATGGTTCATTCTTACAGTCAGCTCATGTATCAGTTCTTAAGAAAGTGACCTACAGATTTGCTAGATAAAAAGGCCATTCCCAGAAACAGTATAATGATATTTCTTCCATGCAAGTGAATACAAAGTTGGTCTGAGAAAAAATGTTTTTTACAGTCAGAAAAATCCACAGATATGTTCCTGAAAATATACATCTGAAGTCTGATGTATTCCCTTTTTCCCCAGAAGATCCCAGAGGAGGGGGAAGGATAGGTGGGAGACAGACACCCAAGTATGTCTAAAGGTCAACAAATGTATTCTACCTTATTTGAGAATGAGGTAGAAATCTATTGTAGACTTGATTTACCCTCACTCACAGCAACCCACCAGCAGTCCAGACCCAAGCTATTTAGTTGCTTGTACACAAAGACCCAATACAAAGTCCAAACTCAAGCTGACATGAATTGGGATAAACTGTGGAATATTGTAATCTTACCATTTTATCTGTTTTGAGAAGGAACTGTGCTTATTAAGGAGGCGTCTATATTTTGCAGTGTTTCTGAAATGGGATTTTATTTTTCGCCATATATACAGAGTCTTCAAAAAATTGGATTGGCGAGTGGGAACTCAGTATTACTTGGTCCCTGATCTCTCCAGCTTTGCTTTCATTAGTAATTTCAAGTGGCATTAAATGAAAATCCATCTAGTTAACCCTGATCTAGTCTCTTGCAAAGCCACCACTACTGTTGCAAAGAGTGCAAACTTCAGTCACTTGTATTAAAAACAATATGAAAGTTAGGAATGTTTAGAACTAAACTTAATAGGGGTGATCATATTTGCCCATGGGCTTGGCAGGATGAACAACACAGAAAAGAAAGTGTTTTTTATTTCTTGTATTACAAGATACAGTCTGAAAATAGTTTTCCTTAACACTGCAAGTATTTGATCTTCTATAACACACTCTTGTTTCTTACTTGGACAGCAGACGGAGTCATGGACATAATTTATGTCCATGTTTTTCTTCTTGGGAAGCAAAGTATTAGTATAATTTGTAACAATCAGCTTAAGTAGCTTTCCTGTTTAGAATGTTATCTTCACTCTTGAAGCTCTGAACCTATTAAATTTTCCTTTAAAATACACGTATTGCAACCTACACATTTATTCCCAACTCACATAAAGCATGTTTTGGACTGCAACATACTGACTAGATTTAATCTCTTGGCAGCTGCTTTACAGTTTGCTTACATTCTATTCAAAAACATTTTGTTTACTGTAAATGCTAGTCATGGACAAACAATGATGCTATTTTTTTATGCTGGTCACACAAAATGATATACTGAGTCCTACATAATGCTGCCCATTAAACAAGGAATGTTTTGTATTAAGTTGTTTTAAGTAGAGGTTGTTTATGTAAAGTAAATAAATTTCACGCCTCACCATGTGATGATAATGTGACATTCCGTCTGTATCAAGCCACAGAACAGTCATAAGTTTTAATCTTGAGCATAACTAATTAAAAATAATTATGAAAAACCACATCCAAAACTAAAAGGCAAAGTAAAACATCTCCAAATGCTTTTCTTTTACCACATACTTCTTCGCCTCTCCTATTACTGTATTTTCAAGACTGCAAAATTGAATTTATTCTTTATTAAAGCAAAATTGACATTGAAACTTCATCAAAATTGGTCAACTTAAACTCATTCTATTTTCCATCCTACTTGCACAAAATATCTCATTTCTCATCTAACACGACTGCATATATGCCTAGCGTTAGAGGCTAGCTTCTAGAGCAAAGATGGAACTATAAATGTATATCCCGGTGACCATTAAAAAGCAGTGCACAAAGGAAGCAATGACTGTTTAAATCTGCAATGGCCCATAGCGTTCACCATTATCAATGCCAGATAGGGGCAGTGATCATTTGAACAGAAGGACATAGGGAGCTGTAAATCAGAAATAGCAGATTGCACAAATGAGCCAAATTCCTTAAAAAGTGATGTCACTCCTTTTCATTTTGTGGTAATCTGCTGGAGCTGAGGAAACTTAAGTTTGATCAATTTTCTTTCTTTTAAAAGAATTCCCCACAGTGGAAAGAACTTAGGCCTGTGGAAGAGCAGATACAATCAAAATCAAAGGGGCTGCCTGTGATACGAAGCAGTCCTGCTGGTTGGGACAGCTGGCAGACAGAGCAGTAGAGATGCCATCACCGATTTTGATTCTGGTTTTGCTCTATTTTAAGACAGAATGTGTGAAGATAACAGAAATATCAGAATATCAGTGGGGAATGTTTGTTGATTTTACTCGGTGAGAGAAAAAAATAAATCTTCTGTGTATCCCCCGTCACCCTCCCAGCTAGACAAGGCACTAAAGTGGCTATGTGGGCCACACTATATTAAATGCCACCAACTTCAAATATTTTCAGAGCACTCGTTATGAAGAAACCTAATAGTTAGGATTTCACAGTCCCCTGGAGTGTGCTAAATACCTCACAATACATATGAGGTGAAAAAGGCTTTGCTGCAAAGACTGTGTGCTACTTGGCTTATACACTCAAAATGCAGGGGGAGGGAGAAGAGTGAGGAAGAACGAGGATAACTGGCATACATAAAAGGTACGTAAACTCTCTAGGACCTGACTACACTTATTTCTAGACTATGTCTCAAGTGCAAGACCATTAATGATTTTTTCTCCTTGCATGGTTTTATGGAGAAACACCAAATACAATGAAAATAGCTGAAAAGATGAAATTTATATGCGAGTAGTGCAAAAGTTTAGGCTAGCCTGCATGCTTAGAAGAAACACATTTGATTATCATCATTTTCACATACTAAAGGTTACCCAACTTATTTCAAGTGGAAAGAACTAAGAAGGAATCAACTAAAAGGAATCATCAAAACATCTGTTACACACGAGTTATAAAAAGTTTCTTACCTCGGGCAGGAAGTTTTCCCTGGTTTCTTTTCAACAGCTGCAGTTCTTCTGCTTGACTCACTAGTCAAATAAATAAATCTGAAATCAATAAATGTTGCCCCAGAGATTTCAAAGAAAATAATACCTACGCCTCCTTTTTCACTTTCAAAGCATTTCTATTTTTCTTCAAGCAATGACAAAAGCCCCCCTTTATCTATGTCTTGTGGTCAAAAAATTTAACAAAACATTTTCAGAATGAACAGAGTTTTGAGAAGTTGTGCTTACAAGCCTCATTCCACATTTTGTTCCTATTTTTGTCTTCTGGTGCTGACACAGTGCTTTGTTCCCAATTCAGAGATGGGGGGAAAAGATGATTCCCATTTTGAAAGCAACAAGAA